AATTTGTGCTAGTAATAAATAGGACTCAAAAGTTTTCTTTACTTATAAAGCTAAAAGGTAGTGTTGTTAAAGATACAACATAGTTGTAACTTCAATCGACATTGGTACAACAGGTTTAAAATATTTTATGTGAGTATTTTGTAAAAAAAACACTTTCTTCATTATTTAAGCTAATAAGCCGTTCAATTTTTATTAATCTTAAAAAAGCTCATATCAAAGACGTATTGATACTGTATGAACTAGTGATGGGCATTTTCGAATATTTTAAACTATCGAATAACTATTCGCATTGTTTTTATGCAACCGAATAGTTTATTTTTAGCAAAAACTATTCGAATATATTGTGTAAATATCGAATATTTTTACTATTCGAATAGTTTTTGAATGACTATCGAATAGTTCGATAGTTACTATTCGATATTTCCCATGACTAGTATGAACGCAGCGCCCGGTGGTATTCACGCAAGTTCGTTAACGTTCATGGTTTTATTTTGTCTTAAGTCTTTGGTTATGTCGAGGATAAAGAATAAGGTGAGTAGGCTGTATGAATGAATGTAGAATGAATTTTACAATATATAATTATAACATTTAAATGTATTATACAAAAATCATTAAATCTTTTATACACCAATGTGGATAGGGGGACACTTAATACTAATGCCACAATGGCGTTGATATAAACAAATAATAAATTATAAAAGTGAGTAAGTCTTATAAAGAAGATGAACAAGCATTATACTTATCGGCTAGTTGAAACGGCGGATGATAATGTTGTATATTGAAAGGATCAATTGAAATCAAATGCAAGTAGTTGACCAACGTGTACAATATGTTGTGAACGTTATTTTGGCGTATCTCAGAAAATATGTAGACCCAACGGCGATATACTGAGCGCACAGGGTACGACAATCGCAAAGGTGATATTTTACTTTTACAACAAAACTAATGACTCGCAAGCACCATAGAGCTTATAGCTAAAAAAACGCTAAGATGGCGGCGATAATCCAGATATAGAGAGAACACCGACAACAACTCGATGTAGCACAACAATAGCATAAATAATCACAACACAATTTTGCAACAACATATTGATGTGTATCTGTTGGATACACAAGTATAGAGTATTTTAATAAAAATAAACTAACAAAATATGTGTAAATTAAAATATAATAGTTTTTAATAACATTGTTTCAACTTTGGACATGATTTAATGTAATAGTAATTAATTATAACAAATAGTTTCTTAATAAATTGCGACCTAAAAAAAGTATAAAAAAGTTTTATTTTTAATCGTTTAAGTAAAATATCAAGTGAGAACTTGGGTTCATTAGTGTTATTAATTAACTACGTTTATTTGTAAATGGGTCTAAACGCGTAATTCTATACCTATATAAATACGTGTAAATTGCAATTGATGTTATTTGAGAGCACATCATATTTCGGACGGTTGTTGTCATGCGACGGCAACGCGAATACTGCAACAGGTAGTTCTGAAGTGGAAGTCGAACGACAAGGCGCAGCAGACGGGCAATCGCATATACATCGGTAGTTATTATATTGACAATATACAGGTACTACCAAACTGGAAGTCCGACGACAAGACGGAAGAGCACATTAGTTAGAAATTAAAACTTTCGGTGTAACATTATAATGCCCAATGAAGCAAGAAATAAGAGTTCACTAAAAAATTTCATACTTGGTCATTTTAGCTTCCATGCGAAGCTGAGAAGGTATTAATTTTACCATGATGTGTTTATTTATTTTTTTTTTTGTGTCTGTCACTACTTTTTCTTAGCTCTCACTGGACCGATTTCTTTTAACAATACGTCAAAAGATCACAAATTGTATCTAGTTGAAGACATTACCTTTAAATATTTAAAAATTTTCCTTCGTTCCCCGCAAATGGGGGAAATATCCAAAAAAATTACAAATTTAAAAATCGGTAAATTTTGTCATTTTTTTCACTTTTTTTTCTTAAAACTTCCATAAATTTTTCAAAAATCAACAAATCAACATAAATTTTTTTTAAACTGAAACCTTAGATATTTCCCTTTTATTTGATATGATTTTTTTGAAAATTTAACACTTAATCTGCTCATAGGGGGGGGATTTAAAATTGCAACTTTTTTACAAAAACTAACTTTTTCAACTTAATTTTTGAAAATTTTCCGGAAATACTGCTTCCTTTAAACATATACCAAATGAAAGCTTATTTTATGTACTGTAAAATGATGAAAAAAAATTTGTCTCGACACTTCATCTTCTGCATGCAAACGGCTGCCGTAGTTAAAAAAACGCTATTTTTATGTTAAAATTTGGGTTTTCTATTTTATTTTATTTTAAAATATCTTATCAGGGGAATACACAGACTTTCATGAATATTATGACCCCTCTGTGCTGGGTTTTTAAATTTGTGATTGATATTGCCAAGAAATAATTTACATAAACAAATGTATAAATGCACACATTTTTTTATACCGATTAACAAACGGATATAGGAATCGTAAAATAAACGCCATTTGATATTTATCAAAAATCACTTTATCATATATCATTTTGTTAAAATTTTATTTCCAAAGAATTATTGTTTATGACATACTAGGCGTGAAAAACCTCGTATATGCAAAAAATAGAACACAAAAATATTTATCTCTGAGTTAAAAAAATATACTACTTGGCGATAGGGTCATGTGGGATAATTGTACACCATTGGGGTAATAGTAAATGCATTTTTTCTCTGAGAATATATAGAAGATTTTATTTTAGATTGAAAAGCTGAAAAGAAAAATTGAGTGTCGAAATGCTCATATAAAATTTAATTTAAGTTTACATTCTCTATTGTGTGCGAGTAAACTTAGTAAACGAAGTGCGTACACAAACTCAATACAAATAAAACCCAGCACAGGGGGGTCGCGGCTCAGTGGTGACGTGGCATAGTTGAATCAAGTATAATGATATCTNCAGTGGTGACGTGGCATAGTTGGATCAAGTATAATGATATCTGACAGTGATTAAAATCACTATCAAAAAAAAACGCTTCGATGCAAATCTTTAGATAGTGTTTAATTCTAAAAAATTGGTGGATTATTCCAAAAGCTTCATAAACTGCTAGTTCCTTATTAATATCCTGATTAAGATAAAGTAAGTCGAATGAAAAAAGGAATATTCAAAAATAGTATTTCCCATAAAAAAATTATATTGATCAATACACTTTTCAATAAGTTATAACATAATAAAGTTAAAAATGTAAAATACAAAATCAAAAATTTTCACACAAAAATAGCATTCGGTAGCCATTTTCACCTTGAAGTTAAAATAAAGTCCGAAATTTTTTTTTTTTTCATGATAAAGTATATTAAATTAGATTTAATTTAAGATATATATAAAAGTGTCAGACCTTCCGGAACACTTTCAAAAGTTAAGTTGAAAAATATAATTTTTTTTAAAAAAGTTGTCATTTTATATCCCNTAATTTTTTTTAAAAAAGTTGTCATTTTATATCCCCCCCTGTGGGCAGGTAAAAAGTCAGATTTATAAAAAAAATATACCAAATGATAGGTAATGACATCATGCATTTTAAAAAAAAAAATTATATTAATATGTTCATTTTTAAAAAAGTAACGGCAGTTTTTAGTAAAAAAAATTGAAAAAATTTCGAAAATTAGCGATTTTTAAATTTGTAATTTTTTTGGAGGTTTCCCCCATTTACGGGGAACGAGGGAAATTTTTTCAATTTTTAAGGGTAATGTCTTCGACTAGATACGATTTGTGATCTTTTGACGTATCGTTGAAAGAAATCGGTTCGGTGAGAGCTGAGAAAAAGTGGTAACAGACACAAAAAAAAAAACACATCTTAGTAAAACCAATACCTTCTCAGCTTCGCATCGAAGCTAAAATAAAAAAACACATCATAGTAAAATTAATACCTTCTCAGCTTCGCATCGAAGCTAATAAAGAGTATTTTATAATAAAAATGACACTCTTCAACAACTTTATTCCAGAAATCAATTTACTCTATGTTCTGAACATTAATAGATATTTTAGAAGTTTTAGCCACAAAAAAATCTTTGCGTGAAATAGCTAATATACAAATAGCTAATTTTAATTAAATAAATAGTGAATTAAGAAATTCTAATAATAATAATATATAATTTTTTTTTTTAATTAGTACTTTACTCACTCAGTCGTAGATAATGTGAAAAATACCCGAGTAATGTACGAAATAAACGTTTTTATAAATAATATTTTTACATTAACCAATAGGTACAGGTAGTGTTCACATTACCCGGATAATGTGAACTCTAACCATACTTTGTACTTTAGCCGTAACATATATTTAGTCATTACTGAGAAATGAATCAAGACGTTCGATGTGAGTAACTGTGAGCATTTGATTTCATTGGAAATAACCTGCCGTTATAATAACTGTGCCTTGAGCACAGTGGAAAATTGGAGAATTTACGATCAAATGAATCCACCCATGTAGAACACAAACTAACATTAACTATTACTCTTTCCTTCAAGTAACAGATTGTTATTGCTATTCAAACATTAACTGTTATAAATCACTGTTACTGTTATTTTGTCTCATCACTAGCCTTAACTGGAAACACCATATACACCAGAAAAGAATGCAAGAAAAGAGAAGCTGTGAATGTGTTGAAACTTTCATGGATTGTCGTATTATTTGAAAAGCTTGAGGATTTATCCATGTTTGCAGTTGATTGCTGACGTTTCGAACTCATTGCAGAGTCCATTTCGGAGCGATAGTTACTGCTCAGTGGCTGAAACTATACTGGCGGCTTATCTTGTTATCAGTCTGTTTTCATACGTTGGTTGTTTATTATATCAGTTGTTTACCGTAACGGGTGTTTATCATATCTGTTTATTACTCATGTTGTTTATGGTATCTTGTTTTTGCTGATGTTTTTGTTGATGTTTTTGTTGATGACTTTGTTTTTGATTATTGCTGTTGTATGTTAAACAGCATACAGTTCACTATGGAAACAGAAGAAAACAGCAAATTGCCATATTTGGATGTAGTGGTTAATAAACAACCTAATGGAAAATTCGGCACAGGAGTATACAGAAAAAGTACACATACTGATAGATATTTACACGCCGATTCACACTACTGCCCCTCGCAAAAAATGGGACTATTACACACAATGGCAACAAAAGCCGTCAGAATAGCTGATGAAAACCACATGAACGAAGAAAAAACATACCTACAACAAGTACTCAAAAACAATGGATACACAATCAAAAATAACAACAAGGCAATCAGAAAAGCAGAGAAAAGAAAAAACAAAACACGCAATGACGATGAAGAAAACAAAGAAGATGAAAAGAAAGGAATTTTAATACTACCGTACATACAGGGAATCACTGACCGCATTTCAAAAATCACACAAAAACTTAAACTAAGAAGTGTTTTTAAACCGAACACAGTCGCAGGATCACTACTCCGGAACCCGAAAGAGAAGCTACTAGAGATGCAAACACCCGGAGTATATGAAATACCGTGCTCTTGTGGTAAATCCTACATTGGACAAACAGGAAGAGCTATTGCAACAAGAATAAAAGAACACGAAAAAAACGTGGATTACCAAAGGACAAAAAAATCCGCAGTAGCCAAACACGCTAAAAACAAAGGACATGACATCCAATTCGATAAAGTAAAAATACTAAACAAAGAAACTCATTTTGGCAAACAAATGTACAAAGAGGCAATAGAAATCGAAAAATTTCCAGAGAATTTCAACAGAGAAGACGGATGGAAAATAAGCAAAACTTGGTTACCCATCATACACCAGACAAACAGTTCAATACAAGAGAAAGTTACTATCAACATAATGGAAAACTGTCGATGCAGAAAAGGAAGACCAAATGCCAAGAATGTCAAAAAAAAAAAAAACAACAATAATCAAAAACAAAGTTGTCAACAAAAACATCAGCAAAAACAAGATACCGTAAACAACATGAGTAATAAACAGATATGATAAACAACCGATACGATAAACAACTGATATGATAAACAACCAACGTATAAAAACAGACTGATAACAAAATAAGCCGCCAGTATAGTTTCAGCCACCGAGCATTAATTATCGCTCCGAAGATGTACTCTGCAATGAGTTCGAAACGTCAGCAATCAAATGCAAACATGGATAAATCCTCAAGGTTTTCAAATAAATAGAAGCTGTGTTGAATCTATTGGTCATATGAAAAGCATTCTTAGTTATCATTAGATAACATATGTCAATTAAACAAAGCGTTCAAAAACCTATCTAGACTAACGAAATTCAATTGTTGGGTTGCACTAGTAACTCTAACATAGACGTTGGACAAGACTGTCAAATTATAGCACTTGTTGCCATCGTAATGGCTTACCGACTCGACATATATGAAATGTACATGCTGTTATATAGATCGTAGCAGATGAGCATTCGGTTTATATGTAAACAANCGTAGCAGATGAGCATTCGGTTTATATGTAAACAAATGTTTGAAGACCCATAAAAACCTAGTGGAAAACCAACTATTGGACAATTTTCAATAATCTAAGACGTTTAAAATGCGTTAATCAAATTAATCCCATATTACGCTTATTCGCTCTGTTCAGCACATTCAGTTGTCCAGGAATAAAAATGAAAATGATATTTAAAATTATTAAATATAGTAAAATAATATTGATTTATTTTAATAATATTTAGATAAAAATGAAGTCACAAAATACCGGTATGTCGTAAAAATACTCCTGTAATCCGAATAGTTATACTAGAGACTTGAACATTTCACCGCTTTTTCTTTATAAGACTTTCTAACATTTTTAATTATTAACAATAGGATTTATAATTGATATTTTAAGTAATTTTTCAAAAGGTTTTTTTTATAAAAAAAAAATTACTTTTTCAAAATTAAAATAAATATATGTTTTGAACTTATGTTTACTTTGACCTTTTTTTAGTAATACAAGTTAAAAAAATTTTAAATTCTAAAATAATGGCTTGAAGGCACTTTTATCTTAATTTTTCTCCAGTGGAATATAAAATTAAATTATGAAAATTTCACACATATTGTTGACAAATGTTCACTTTACGAGGTGTGTTCAAAAAGTAAGGTGACTTTTCAAATTTCGCGGGCTACGTCCGTTCGAACTTAGATTTTTTTTT